GTACTAAGCCCAAGTCTTAAGAAGAGTTCAAGAAAGGTTTCACCGGGAAATAATCCTTTCTTTGTTGAACTGTTCCAAGATTAAAGAGGTCAAAGAAGAGGTTTCACCGGGAAGTAATCCTCTCTTTATTGAATTTTTTCAAGGTTGAATCAATTGAACAAAGCCCACAAGGAGGTTGGCTGTATTGGGAAGAAGAATTCCTTTGTACAAGGGGGGGACTAGTTGTTTGAACTAAGTTTTACTGATTGACAAGGATCCTATTGTTTGAACTAGTTTAAATTAAGGATAATTCAAATGCTAAGAGAAACTTAACAAGATATGTATAAGCATATATACAGAAATATGAACAAGTATATAAATGTTTTCATCAAGACTGAGTTAGGGTTTTGAGAAATTGAAGAAAGTTTTGACTTTGAAGATAACTTGATCTTTAAGTAAACAAAGATGCTGGGTCTTACACTATAGATAGAGGCCCATGGTGTTATTTGTATCATGTACAAAGCCCAGGATGAATGAGGCTAAAAGGTTTTCTATTTACAAAAGAGTGTTGGGTCTTAGACTCTAATAGAGGCCCATGGTTATTGAAAATAAAGTTTATATACAGAGAGATGGGACTTACACTCCTAGCAAAGGCCCAGATGATTTTGAAAATAAGATTTATATACAGAGAGATGAGACTTACACTCCTAGCAGAGGCCCATATGATTTTGAAAACAATGATCGCACTGTGATTTTGAAAAGCGCAATGAGACTTATACTATAGCAGAGGCCCATATGATAGTTTATTTACAAAGAGGATTGGGTCTTACACTCTAATAGAGGCCCATGAGTGTTTTTTATTGTTTAAAATAATATTTATGTACAAAAGATTAGGGCTTATACTCAAGGAGAGGCCCGTATGATTTATTTGAAAACAGTGATAGCACTGCGATACCGAAAGATGTTGTGGGACTTATACTATAGTAGAGGCCCAAAATTTATTTATGTATATAGGGGGGTTAGGTCTTACACTATAATAGAGGCCCATGTGTATTTGACATGATGTTTGAAAGATTGAATCAAAACACAACTCTTATTTCATATTTTTAAAGATATTTTTCAAAGAAAAATCAAATAAAATATGTATAATTTAATCAAATAAAATCATTAATCATGTTATAAACAATGATTAAGGTTTATGGAAAATGGTATTTTATTCACATAAATATTTAAAATCATTTTGGTTTTAAGAATCAAGAAAGTAAATCATTTTAAAAACATTTAAAACAATTAAAAATAATATTTTTAAATATATCAAATAAAAATATTTTTGTGATTTTTTGGGTGAATAAAACATTTTAATATATAAGTGATATTTGTGAAAAAAATAATTTTAAAATAACTAAAATTGATTAACAAAAAAAATTATTTAAAAAAATGAAAAATATGGTGAGAATGTGAAAAAATAGCATAAATGGGTGTTGAACTCATGCCCTCCAACACAAACACACTTGAAAACACGCATTGCAACCACTAGGGTAGTGATACATCCGTGTATTAAACCCACCCCATAAATACATAAGGGTGACTTGGTTTTAGGCCTGGTCAAAGGCGCCAAGGCCATGGCTGACCAGATTTTGATGGTTTTGCAAGAAGGTCATAACTTCTTCATTTCTCCATGGATGAAATAAAGACGGATCCTACCGAAAATTTCATGAGGAATCCAATGGTGGTCTTAGATTTTTCTAAAAATGTCTACATTTTGAAACTCGGTAGTGGTTTCAAAATAGGCAATGTTTTGCAAGTTCTATGCTACCACTATATACAATCAATAATAGCATGATAAAATAGTTTAAACACGACAAATATGATATGCATGGCATGTTCATAGTCAATGTACATTAAAACAATGCATGTTTCACAAAGTTCAAGTTCTTATGCACTTACCTCTTGAAGCTCCACTTGCTAACCTTCAAGATACTTGTGATAGAAGCAATCCAATGCCTTGGACACTCTTAATAGATCCCTTGGAAGCTTTTATGATGATAAAAATCCAAAGAAAACCTTAGAAACATGAACTATCTCTTTCTTGCAAAATTGGCAAAAGTGACCAAAATGACAACTCTCTCAAATGGTGTTACAATTGAGAAATTATGCTTAGAACACCTTAAGGGTATATATTAGAGTGTGTTTGAGGTGTTTCTTGGTTTTGAAATGGACTGAATCAAGACATGGCTTGAAAAATGCAGAAAATTCAAAATTTGAGGTTTTGATGGTTGACTTTCTGATTTTGGTGATTTGCGATGAAGGTGAGTGTTTGAACACCTCCAATAGATTATTTGTGATGTGTTTGGATGGTTGTTTGTTTGGCTTAGGCTCTGGTTTTGAGAATTCCGAGTTTGATCCTTAAAACTTTAAAATTTTGACCAAGAGATGGAGAATGAGAAAACAAGGTTGTGGTATTGTTTTGGTGTGTCTCAAATGATCAGAAACAACTTCTATTTATAGGAGAACAAGTTTATTTTGGGAGAAATAGTGTTGGATGAGGGATCACTCTATTATCCAATGGACTTTATCATGTAGCCCTTTCTTAAATGCCAAGGTACCAAAGTCTCATCTCATCTTGATTGGTTTATAACTGATTCATGCCACCTCTATGCATCACATAAATGTCAAATGCTAAAATGAAATTCAAGGCATTTGTAATGATGAATTTGCACATGCTAAGATGAATTCTTGACTCAATGGTCCAAAGTTGAAAACATCAAGTGATTCATCAAGATTCTTTCTGATCTTAGAAGGGGACAAAACTTATAAGATGAAAAAATTGAAGATGAGAATCGTGTGGCACAAGAAATGCACAAAATCTGTCTTGAAAATCAGTTTGAGCAAGGCATGTTGTGAGGTTCATAACTCCTTGCTCAAATTGAATAAATGGGAGTTCTTATACTCTTTGAAAAACTTGTATATCATAGTTCAACTTTGATGTTTACATCTGGTCTTGATTCATCTTGGATCATAATGAAAAATGCCTCCAAAGTTGGGAAAAATATGAGGCAGATTTTGCCTAAAAATTTCTAAGTGTCAATGTTCAAAATCTCATGAAACCCTAACTTTAATGCTTCATATCTCCAAATCTAGGTATTTTTGGGGGTACTTATGCTTTGCAATATAGTTTTATGTAAGAAGATCTATCATTTGAACTTTGGATGAGAGAAAATGGTTGCTTGAATCACAAGTTATGGCCTTGCAAAGTTGGGTAAAAATCAAGTTCATTCCATAACTTAGTGAAATTTCAAGTTTCTCAAGGTTTCCCTTTTTGCAAGTAACCTCATTTTTCTTGATTTTTCTTGATTGATCATGACCCAAATCATAATTTAACATTGTTCTTGACTTAAAGAGGCCATGCTTGTCAAAAAAATCTCAAAAGTCAAACTTGATTTTGATCACAGTTGACTTTTTACATTAGATGTAACTTGAACTTTGTGATCCTTTATGAAATCAAGTCCTTGGGCTAAATTGAACCTAATGGATGGATTCCAAAGGTGTTTTTAAGGATCTTGAATCATGTCTCAAGGTTTGAGATCATGTCGTGGTCAAAAGTCAAAAGTTTGGTTGACTTTTTCTCAAGAACCCTAGTTTGTGATTCAGATGAATTTGAATCCTTGTATTGCTTATGAATCAAGTTCTTTGAATTAATCCAATCTTGTAAATGGAAAAATATGATGAGTATGAGTTCCTTGAAACATACCTTGAGGTTTTGGATCATGCCTTACTTCAAAAGTCAACCTATGGGTTGAATTAGCTCAAACCCTAATTCTTGATTTTAGATAGATGCAAACCCCTGAGACTATTTTGAACTTATGAATGGACTCATGAGGCTATTTTGAATTTATGAATGAGCCCAGATGAAAACTTTTCTTTGGAAGCCTTGGTCGATCAAAATCCTAATTTGGTGACATTGATGGTCTTGAGGCTTGATTAACTTGGAATGGTGCAATCTTGTGTTAAATTCTTGATGGGGAGGATCTCTTGATCCTTCATGGATGTTTGAGAGGCTTGACAAGTTGAAGATCATGTAAATTCTTGATTGATCCCTTGCCCGAATGCTCTGAGAGGGCTCAAAACCCTGATCTTTGATTAAGGTGAATACTTAACAATCTTTGAGAAGATTGGTGAGGTATGAAAATTTATCCATATTATGGTGATGATTTGCACAATGGTGTGAATTCTTGTGGTCAAAATTTAGGGTATGACAGTCACGTACCGAAAACGTGAGGATGGAGTTTCAACGAGTTAGGTTGTAATAGTTGATGTTGGAAGAGATGATGAAATCTAAGTTTCAATGAAGATGAAAATCGTCTAGATTTTTTTTAAGACAATGACGTTGAAACAAAGGTAAATGAAAAAATAAAGTCTAGTTTTGTGAAGTATTTATGGTGATGTCATGACATATACATCGGTTATTAGATGGTCAAGGTAAAAGCTTTGTCATAAGATATATATTTTATAGTAATGATTTCACTGCATTAGAAACACATATTTCTAATTTGATTACTAAATACTGAATATTCAGAATCTTCTGAACAACCGGAAAAAAGTAGTTTATGACATCAAGACAATGTACATGATGTTGAGTTGTTTAGAAAATGCACTATGATATTATATGTTGCTGTTGTATGACAAACATCATTATAGGAAAACCTTATAAACTGCATCCTTCAAAATCTTATTTAAATCCACTACCACCCCTACTTGCAGTATCCATCCATGCGAAATTAATAAGATTAACATAGCTTATCAAGATTACTAACAAGAAAAATTAATGCATGAAAGAGTAACATTATATATTTATACTACTACACTCTTAACTCAATAGTTACACCCTTAATCTTGAAAGATTATTGAAATAAAGTGTTCCTCAAGCCTCATAAGTACTCAATCTTGAGTCTCTTTAAGGTATACAACAAATATAACATTGTAACAAATAAATAAACAACACATTAAATTCAAAAAATCACTCAAACATGATTAACATAATTGCAATTCACTCTGATTTCACCTTCATTAGGCCTAGTCAAAACTTGAACATTCCCAAGCTTCACCATTGACACAGAAAATTGACTATCAAAAAGAAAAGGTTGTGTTGCAAATGCTTCCACAAAAGGACCTGTCCTTGCATCTGAAAACAACAATTGATCTGTTGATAACAAACCAACTTTCCTCACAAGATTCTTGTAATATGTTGTGTCAAAAGTCCTTGGTGTTATAACATCAAGATGCACCAAATCCAAATCCTTTTTGCATCTTTTCCTTAACAACTTCAAGTAATAGACACTAAGTGAAGGATCAGGTTTACCAGTTCCATTGAAATTGTAAATCCTATTCATAATAGAATAACAAGTGCTTCTACCAATTGTGTGTGAGCCTGATAGAGTAACCAAATCAAGCATGTCAAGTCCTCTTTCTTGGAAAAATGCAAGTAAACCTGTGATGTTTTCATGTCCTTGTGGAACCAAATTTGCTTCTTTTGTTAATGAGATTTTGCCGTCTTTTCGGCCAAATGGAACTTCCCAAAATGGCCCTCCTGCTAAAATTGTTGCATCTCTTGCAGCAGCAGTGAGAATGTCAGCACATGAGACTGTTCTCGGACATCTTTTCTCTAGTTCAGTCTTGATTTCATCAATCATTCCGAAACCTCTCAAGGTTTTACTCTCAAATGCAGTTCTCTCACTCCCTTTGTGGTTAAGCAAAATTGATGCATCACACCCCTGCATTGTATATACAAACTATGAAGCACAGACACCAGAAACATAGCATAGCAGACACCAGAAATACGACACAGACACTAGAAACATGGCCGACACAAAAACACGACACATACACCAAAACCACATCATTGACACTGACACGTTGACACAAGCAACAACTTAAAGAGAAATTGTAAAACTTAAAAGAGAGATTGAGTAATGTGAATACTTACTCTAACGGCGCAATCATGGAAATGCAAGCGAATGATGGATGGGGCCAAAGTAGGGTCCTTGTTAACCCAAGCAGCAACTTTTTGTGAGATAATGCCTTCAGCATCTGGACATGTTGAATGATAGTGACTAATAGAAAGCAAAGCTTCAGCAGGGAGTAAAGGTTTCACAGACTTTTTTGGTGATGAAAAACCATAGACATTGGTGCTTAATTCTAAGATGAACACAAAAAGGAAAAATGAAAGATAGTGGAACTTCATGTTGTTTGAATATGCATTATGAGAATGTCATGCACGTATTTAAGGTAGAGATTTTTTTGATGATAAAACGTGGTAAGCATTACTAACATATCAACGTGTTGATGTTGCGCATTATATTACTATAATATTTTTAGAAAGTCTTATGCAAGATGGTTTTACTTGGTGAAGATTTGACTAATTACAGATATTGAGGTTTCATGTGACAACCGGCTTCAGTATAGAGTATATTAAATAATTAAAGTCAATCATATGAATCATCAAACTCAGAACTTTCAATTATTATTTATATACTAATTCTATTAAAAGCAAAATTGAATAATAGTGGTCTGCTCAAATCATGGATTGTAGTACATCTGGGATTTTTTTTTTTTTAGAATAACGCACATATTTAACAAAAATTCTAAAATAATCACATTTTGAAAAAATTTATCAAAATGACGCAGTTTGTGTAAAAATTAACAAGGATATGACATATGATATGGCGCATCAATTTGACTTTGTACATATATGTCATATCATATGGCGCATGAGTTTCATATGAATAGTATGAGTCATATCATATGGTGTCTCTGTATATATGCATGCATACATGCGCCATATGATATGGAGTCTCATTATTTTATTTTTTTTAATTTTTTATTCATTAATCTTGCTACCTCTAGTGTATATATATAAGAGCACTTGTTCTGCAGCAACATCTCAAATTTGCTCTGCACTCCATTCTCTTATTTTTTTTAGTTAAAATGACTTTCTCTTCTTCCTCTTCGTCATCCTCATATATCTATCAGGTTCCATATATCACGAAGAGAAATGTCAATTTAATTTTCTCCCCAGTCAAACCTCCAATGAAGATTCGCCTATGGAATACAATGATGTTAGAACATCTCAAGAGGAGTCTGATCCACTGGTTAGATGGAGACATCCTAGAGGGTGAAAAGATCAGAAGAATTAAAAGGCTTGTTACCATGTTTAATCAAAATGGAGAAGTTCGTTTTTGCGAGAATGTTACTAGTGACCGAGATGTTCAACAGTTGGTGTTTAGCTCTCAGGAAATTATTTTGATGGTTGTAATCTCTTAGTGATGTTGTTGAGTTGTTGTATTTGTTTGTTCCATTTTTTATTGTTTAAGTTATTGTTAATTGTTGTTGTTGCGATATTAAGTTATGTTTGTTTAAGGTATGTCATTGTTCATTGTAAACGCTTAGCTATGCTATCAATGGAATAAAATTTGTTGTTGATGTAAAGAGACAAAGTTACATTTGAAACTATGATCTTGTGCTTGATCCTACATTGGGACATTTTGTACGATTGTGCCCAAGCTGACGGCACGAACTACATAATCTGACCATTTTGTTTTTCGTATCCATCTCTGTTCGAATACGCATTCTATTAGGGCGACCCTTTTTCTTTATTCGCATCAAATCATTATGCCAGGCAATTTCACCTTTGTATGCAGGTCAATATTCCTCCTTTGTTACCACCTGAAAGCTAGTGGTGTAGACATTGCATAGACTAATGACTTAGTAAACAACAAACAGATAGTTGGTAGGGTCCTGGTGAGCCTTTGAACATGCTGTTATTACATGGGAGCAAGGCATACGAAATGCCTGAAAATTTCCGCAGTCACACCAACTCTTATCTAGTTTCACTCAGTAGCATCCCCTAGGTCTCCCTTTACTATGATCAATTGACTCTGCAACACTAAACTAACCTTGACTACAGTCAAACACTGTGACCACATATGTGTTAGTTTTTGCAGCTTCATCCTTCATGAATTTCATTGAACTATCACTGCATAGCTGTCCAGATTGTAAGACAGAACTCCACTTTGTACGTCTGATATCAAAAAATGTCCTGAGCCTAAAATATGTTGCCCTTACCAAAACGATTATCGGTAGGTTTCAGATGCCCTTGAATACATAGTTCATTGATTCAACGAGGTTTGTTGTCATGTGGCCCCATCATTGGCCATTGTCGTATGCCCTGGTCTATTTCTCTAGTTGAATATTGTCAATCCATCTTAATACATTTGCGTTTGTCAATCTGATTTTTTTACGGTAGTGTTTGAAGGAAGGCTTTGTTAGTGCATACCATGCGTTCACAACCTTCTTCCATAGCGTTTTATCCTTGATCTCTTGCATAAATTTTTGAGTGATGTGTCTCATGCAATACACATGGGTTGATGAAGGATCCTGCCAACCGTTATCAATATTCTTGTATGCACTTTTGGTTGATGGATGTCTATCAGAAATCAAACATAAGTTAGGTTGGGGAGACACGTGTAATCAGAGATTTTTTAGGAAAAAACTCCAACCCCCAACAGGCTTCCCTTTAACTAGAGAAAATGTGATTAGAAAGATGTTGTTGTTTCCATCTTGTGCCACTGCTATGAGTAGCGTGCCTTTATATTTCCCATACGACCAATTTCCATCAATTTGAATAATATGTTTACAGTACACAAATCATTTGATACATGGTTCAAACGCCCAGAAGAGTCTGTGGAAAATGCCATTTCCACTAACACAAGTCCCGTATGGGGTATACGGTGGCAATGTCTCCAAGATGGCAACAGTCCCTTGAGCATATTGTTTAAATGCTACCAAGTATTTTGGAAGTTCTTTGTACGACTCCTCCCAATTTCCGAACACTGTTTCGATCGTCTTAGTCCTAGCTATCAATGCTTTCTTGTAAGAAGGAGTATAGTTGTATCTTTGAACCATATGCGAGATTATGGTACTCACCTTCAAAGAAGGACTGTGGTTAATGACTGACAGAATTTCATTGCATATCAAGTAAGAGCTGAGTTTGAGATGATTCTGAATTGCATTTGTCATTATACAAGTGTGCTCTGGACCCATAGACCCTATCTTCCATGAATCGCTTCTCTTTCGGAAAGATGCTGTCAATCAAAACTGGAACACCTCTTTACGAAAATAGATCTTATACAGAGTCAGATTCGTTCGACCGACTCTATAGTCTGCTGATAATTCCATGTGATACTGTTTTATAGCTCGGACACAGTCTTCTTTTGTACGAAAATTATCTCTCTCTTTTAATACTCCTTATGTTTGTATGTATGGATTGTAACAAATATCTATTGATGGTTCATCTGCACCTAAGTTCAGGCTTGTCATGTGTTGAGGTGGGCAATAAACATGATTGGCTGGTAATATGTCTTCCTCGTGGTCGACAGTGGAATCGTTTACCATTTCATCAACAATTACTTCAGCTTCTTCTTGTTCTTCGTCAACAACATCGACTTCATCTTGTTCGTTGTCAGATTCGTAAAAAACTTGAGAAGGATCAACAAGTTGAGACAGTTGTTGTTTTTATAACGTAATATATAGCTCAATATCATTGAAACCAGAATACTCATGATTGAGAAACATATTACGAACATATTCATCATCTCGAACCTTTCTTTCGGTGAATGCACGGTCACACTAGAAGATGTCTATATGTTACTTGGCCTATGCATCGATGGTAAGGCCATTAATGGCAAAGTTTGTTTAATAACCAAATCTACGAAGCTTTGTTGGGTGCCAATATTTATGTTGAAACACCTCAGCCACAACTTGCAGGTCAACCAAGGGGTCAAGGTATTAATTTAAAATACCTAAGAGAATATTATAATACTATCATATTAAACGAGAAATCCACCGAGTATGACAAGATATATAATTAAAACTCGGTGTTATATTATAATCTTATTTGGATATTTTTTATTTCTAGAAAGTACTGAAAATATTATGTATTTACTGTTGTTACGCAACATTAATAAATTATGCACTTATAGTTGGGGTTCAGCTGTTCTAACTCATCTATATAGTTCCTTGTGTAAAAATGCAAAAAAAATACTTGTACATTTTAAGGCTGCACCTTTCTACTTCAAGCATGGGGTTGGTCTAGAATGCCCACATTAGCTCCGGTCAACCCGCATCCATACACATTCCCCTATGAAAACAAGTAAGTTTACTTTAAAATATCAAACATGTATACTTTGATCAAACGTTTATTTGTAACTAATTTATGTATGTTAATTTTTTTAGGTGGTCAGTTTTGGGAATGACTTGCCAACGATGTCCCAGAAACTCAATAATTATGTACCACAACCTTTTAGAACACATTGGGCCAGACGATGTAAATTATTCTTGCACTATCATAAATTTGGCTATTAAATTACCGCACTTTAATTTTTATCATTAAATCTTTTGTTCATGCAGTTTGTTTGGAGGTCGTGTAAGGGACTCGACCATCAGCCCAACACCGATGATGTTGCAGTGTGGACAGCTAAAACATCGATCATTCGGTTCACTACAGTGGATATGCACCAAAGTGATTGGGTGAAACTACAGTTCGACATGCATCAAGATATTTTAGTCACTCCGACGTCTTTGGGAGACTGGCATCAATTGAGGGTGGATGCATAATGGGGTATAGATTATTGGAAAGACTTTGCAAAAGATATGCGTCGATATTGAAAGAATCGACATCGCCATATCTTAAATGAGCCTGTTGTGGAAGAGGCTAGACCAACTCATCAATATATGATCTGGTTTAGGTCGGTTACAACAACACAACGATTTGTTCCTGAGCCGACATATTTGATAGATCCGTGCAAACGTGCTTCTTCCTCGTACACACAACAACAAACGCTTTCCCAACATCAAACACTGCACCATATCCAACAACCATATCTACCCATCCAATCAATCTTCCAAGCCCACAATCCATTCATGCCACCCACCCAATCACAACAAAAAGAGCTTTACCATTACTGCGAACCTCTACACACCGACACCACATCTGCCTATAGCCCTGATATCTTTTTCGATTCCACCCCAGCCCACCATAGCCCCCCACAAATGAACACAATCTTCCTACCACCAAAATACTCAACCACTATTTTACTACCTAACCCCATAACAACCATTGCATCGTTTCTAAAATGATTCAGTGTACCAATTCGGCCAACCATACCGCCCGCACCCAACCCAACC